CTGTTTCTTTCGTGGTCATGAGATAGAAAATGCCAAAGTGCTCAAGTAACTGTAATGACTAGATTATTGACAATGAGTGACTTAGCGAGGAACAGACGCTTGTTTGAGACCTTTTTGAAAAGTATTCCACTCGAAGAAGCAGAGAATGAAGTTTCCTGTTAAGATAGTGCCTCTGATAGTGATGTTGTGCCCTCTGATGTATCTGAATCGGAATCATCAGATGTATCAGAAGCAGAAGATGAAAGGTTGGATACTAGTGACAACAGCGGCATGTTTAAAGCCAAAGATGATAATGTTTGGTCCCCGAGCCCTCCACTTCAGTCCCGTGTAGCTGAACAGAACATCCTTCTTGGTCCTCAGCAGAACGGTTTTAAATGCTGGTCATGTGAGTGATGGGGTTCAGATGCTCAAACTTTTCATCACTGACAAAAATGTCAAGACAATAGTAAAATTTACAAAACAGAATTTGGTTTCGACTGACCCTATTTGGACTAAAGAATACGCCACGTCAATTGTGGGAGCAATCATGTTTCAGGATAGGTTCGGGGAACTCATGAGTAACCTTCGCTTTGATGACAAGGAAACAAGATCAAGTCGGAGTGCAAAGGACAAATTGACTGCCATTAAAGACGTATGGGATGCATTTTAGGGGACATTGTGTAGATATTACAGTTCAGGAGAAAATAATCTTAATGTTGATGAACAACCCATTCCTTTTCGAGGCCGGTGTTCTTTTAAAGAATATATGCCAGTAAAACCAGACAATTATGGCTCAAAACTGTTTTGGATTGTAGACTCTTCTCTTCAAACTGTTATCCATTGAAAGGTCTTCCATACCTTGGCAAAGAAGGGATGACTGCTAACGTTGGTCTTGGACGTCAAATCACACTGTTGCTTTTGTCGACCATACTTCAAGACAAACAGAAACATCACAGCTGACAAGTTTGTTACACATCTTCGGCTTGGAAATAGGCTATTCTCAAATGATTTTACAGTGGTGGGTACAGTCCGTCAGAAGAAACGGTTTCTTCCACCAGAGTTCACATCAAAGACGTCTATTCCACTACTCGGTTCCATTTTTGGTGCAAGGAACATGGCATACTCACAGTGGTAATAGCAAGTAATAGGTCAAACGCTCAAGTCTGTTACTCAAGTAACCAGACTCACCTATATATATATATTTATTTCCGGTACTGAAAGGCCACAGGCCTGTAGTACAATGCATTTATAAATCAATATTTACACGCACGGATAATATACATGAAGAAGGGAAAATAATCAACTTTAGGTTACATTGTGTTCTGAGATATATTCTGTCCTAAACAACATGGCATAGTAAACAAACATGGACAAGTTTTGAAGTATAGTATGGGTTTTGTTATTCAACAATGCTGAGAATTTATAAAGGTTTGGATGGGCACAATAATATTTCTTAATATACAACTTTCTGATGGAATTATAAGCAGGGCAAATTAAAAGAAAATGATATTCATCTTCTATTTGGTTAAGATCACATAGTTTGCAAGTTCTATTTTTCTTTTTTGACATTTTTAAATCTTCCACTTTCGATAGATAAATCATGTGAAGAACATCTCAATCTGCTTAACGCTATCCTATACTTTTTACGTTTAGACATGAAAGATAAGTTTCGGAGTCAAAAGTACATTTAAACACCTTATAATACAGACATTTACTGGAAAGTGATATCTTTTCAAACCATTCTTGCAAGTAGATATCTTTTAATCTTTGTGTTAGTTCTAAAATAAACTTACCCTCAGAATCAACATACTGATCGTTCCATACAAAACCAAACCCTTTCGAGAATAGAAAATGTCTAACAGCAGAAACCCAATTTGTGTGTCCATTTTTATCGAATAGCATCATCATATTGTAACATTTCTTTGGTAGCCTATAAGAAGGCATCTTCAGTAATTTTAACCAGTATTTTATAACTCTGATATTTGTAAATAAGTGCATCGGGTATTTACCACATTCTCCATACACCATTGTATTCATCGTATTGGATTTAACACCAAGAAATCTTTTACATGTTTTCAATTGAACTCTTTCAATATCACTGTAATAATTTAAACCCCATATTTCGGCTCCATACAATAGAATTGGTTTAATTTTGGCATCAAATATTTTAAAGTATGAACTTATATTTATGTCACCAAGTACATTTAATTGTTTAAAGATACCTATCATGACCTTTTGTGCTTGCAAACAAGCGTAATTAACATGTGTTGTCCAAGATAAACAATTACTAAAGAACATTCCCAAATATTTGTACGAACTGGTGCATTCTAATTCTTCACCTTTATACAACCATTTCTCATTTTTGATAAACGTCCCCTTTTTAAAAACTACTACTTTAGTTTTATTTCTATTTACAGCTAATTTGTACTGGTCACAATAATTCTCAAGTTCTTGTATAAGTCTTTGTAAACCTGCAACAGTGCTTGAGAATAGCACGATATCGTCTGCAAAAGCAGAAGAAAAATATGTACTAGGTCAGGGTGTAACTGTATTCCATACTCACAATTGTTTTCAATTTGGGTTGCTAATTCATTTATGAAAATGAGAATAAAATGGGCTAAGTATACAGCCTTGTCTTACCCCGATTTGTAGTTCAAACGAATCTGAGAATTCATTGTTATTCTTAACACAAGCTTTAACATTTTCATACATATTATGAATAATTTTTTTCATTTTAGGACTTAGACCATGGGTATTAAAATAGACCATAGCTTTTTGTCTATCAACTGAATCAAATGCTTTTTCGAAATCAACGAAAAGTGTATAGAGTTTACCACCTTTGATGTTGAGGTATCTCTGTATAATACTTTGCAATATAAACATATTGTCAGTAGTCGTATATCCATGTCTAAAACCTGCCTGAGATTCATTTATTTTATTCAATGTCTCTCCCCAAGCTACTAATCTTCTGTTAATGATAGAAGTGAAAACCTTACTAAAAATACTCAAAGAGTAATGCCTCTATAGTTATTTGGATTATCGATACTTCCTTGTTTATGGAGCGGGACAATAATGCCGATTGTCCAACAAGTTGGAAAACTACCATTTTCTAATATTATATTGAATAATAATTCTAAATATGGTGCTAAAATATCTGCCGAATTCTTAATTAACTCGGGTATTACGTCATCAATACCTGGTGATTTATTGGGTTTTAAGCATTTAATGCTGTCCAGAATCTCGTCCCTACTAATAGGAGAGTCCAGCATATCCTCTGTTAGCGCAAAATTAGGGTCAGGGAGACGTTGATGGATTTGCGTCGTCAACAAAGTTATCAGTATTATTATCCGTTTCTAAGTTGAGAAGATTTCTAAAATGTTGATGCCACTCATTCATACTAATATTGTTTTTTGCTACGATAGAAGTGTTCAAAGTTTTCAGTTTAAGCCAAAACATTTTTGAGTCCCATATGCTATTTTCTATGTCTAACCGCTTTTCTTTAAAGTAATCAAGTCGCTTTTGTTTACATACTACATTATATTCATTTCTTATCTGACAATATTCTTCAAATGACCTCTTATCTTTCGATTTTCTAAACTTATTTAATAGCTTACAACGTTTAGTTTTAAGTTTCTCACATGCACTATCATACCATTTGTTTAATATTTTCCTTGGTGTACCAATTTTTCTTTTCATATTTTCCGCAGCTAAACAGAGAGCATTAGTGACATATTTAATGCTGTCATCAATATTTGTGAATGCATTATCAACTGATTTATCAAGTAATGATTGAACATGATCCGAAAACAGATTCTCTTTAAATTGTTCAGCTTTATCGTTTTCCCAGAAGAACTTATAAGCATTATTTGGATGTGTGTCACACCCGTCAGAATATCTAACATGATCTGTCTTTACTGATAGTGTTATTGGTAAATGATCTGACTCGATACGAGATTGTATGCTAAAAGCACCAACAAAGTCAAATAATATCGATGATGAGATAATGTAATCTATTAGGCTTGTACCATTATTGCCTATATACGTAAAATCCCCAGTTTCTAGGTCGCTGCCACATCGCCCGTTCATAATATGGATATTCATGGTAGAACATAGATCTAGTAAGGTTTTACCAAAATTGTTTAGAGTTCTGTCGGCGGAAAAACGTTTTAGATTAAAAAAATCAATTAAAAAGTCCCAATAGGATTCTTTTTGATTTTCTGTGTATTCTAATAAATCATCCTCTACAAAGTCCAGGTTCGTGCCAGTTCGAGCATTAAAATCACCACCACAGAGAATATAAACATCTGGTAGATGAGATACAACATCTAATAATGAATCTTGAAATAAAATTATTCCATTTTTACAATGTGGATATAGTTTATCGTACCATGACGAGCCTTCTGGTTGAATGTATACACATGCGTAGAGGATATCTCTGTCCAGACCAAATAATGCACGATCAAATAGTATAAAACAGCGTTTTCTGTTGTTTTAGTCCATTTCAGATATTTACAAAACTGGTCACGTATCAAGACTAATATCCCACCGGAAAGTCTTCCACGGGTAGATATTTTATCTGCTGCTTTTACAATCACCTCAAAATCAGGGAAAATATTATGGATATCTATATTCTCACTCCAAGTTTCACTAATTCCAATGACATCAAATGATTTGATATAATCAATAAAATCATTATCATATATTTTTGTGTGTTATCCCTCCAATATTCCAAAACACAAAGTTCACAAAGTCCAATGTATTGTTAACAGTTGCAGAGGTCACATCTTTCTGCTCCGGTCGTTTCCGATGCGCCGTAAAATGTTTACGATAATCGTGGCTTTGGCCCCACCCCTAGTGGGAGTGTTCCCTTGGAGGGCGACGCGAATCCGACCTGAGACCACGACGGGGACGACCTTGGCTGTTGCTACGCTCTCGCGAGGTGTTCCCAGCATGGTGTGAGGGAGACTGGGTGGGTGCAGGTGTGTCTGTCGTCCTATCCGGGTCGTCCCAGGGTGCTTCCATCAGTTTGTTACCCTTGAAATAGTAGCGTATGTTAGGGTTTTCACTGCGTCGTCGTTGAAGTTCCTTGCGTTGGTAAGTTGTGAGGTCGTTAGCAATCCCCACCCCTGGTCCTTCAGAACACTCCTCATTTTCACCGATTGCCACTTATCCTCCCAATGACACATGCGAGCTATAATGGGCCTGGCCTTGTCACCCTTCTTAGTAGACAGTCTATGTGCCCTTTCTATATCCCTCGGGACTAAAGGTGGGAGATTCTTCACTACCCTGGCCTTATTGAGAACTGTCAAAACTTTATCCTTACTCTCAGTGTATGTCTCTCGTTGACCGCTCTCAGGCACATTATATAGCACGACATTGTTTCGTCTGCTACGTTGCTCTTGATCCTCCAGTTTAGTGTCTAATTCTTCCAAATACTTCTCAATACCCACTGTCCTGTCATTCAAAGCCTCAACATCTAATTTCATCACATCCTGCTCTTGTTTACTAGTGTTTATGTCCTCTCTGAGCTCGTGGATGTCAGATTTCATGTCTCTAATGTCATCTTTGATAGATCTTATATCCCTAGATAATCTATCCTCACTCGCCTTTATCTGTTTCACAATATCCCTCCTCATCTCATCTAGACCATCAATAGGACCGGGATTGAGTTCTACACTACACTTCAGACATTGAGATTTCAATGTTTGCAAAATGTGTTCCCGTTGGAATTTTAAGAAACCCTCTCATGCAAAGTAACAAGGACAGTTATTTGCATTTTGATATTTTTATTTCCAGTCTTTTGCGTTGACATGTTTAGTTACATAATAAAAGCGTGCGGGGGTTATCTCGACTGAAACTCCGGGTCAGCACAGCGGTTCAGTGAGTTGGATTTGCTTAGACAAAGTGTGGGTCAGACTTGATTGAGTGAGAATGGTTGTTACATGAAGTCACTCTCAATTGTCGCTCTTTGCTGTTTCCTTTTATGACTAAATAACATTTATTGTTCTTATTAGCTTCACATTTCCAAACTGTTCATCCCAAGGAAATATGTATCTGCTATTAACCGTAATATAGCAATAATATCACTATGTACACCAAACTGTTCATCCCAAGGAAATATGTATCTGCTATTAACCGTAATATAGCAATAATAACACTATGTACACCAAACTGTTCATCCCAAGGAAATATGTATCTGCTATTAACCGTAATATAGCAATAATAACACTATGTACACCAAATGTTTATAACTTCCCAATGTACCTATTTATGTACGTGCTTCATAACCTTCCCCTGTTGTTTGTTAATGGGCAGTAATATCTTCTTCTCCACACATGTAAGTAGAGTGATGAAATTTACAATATGCACCATTTTCATGCAGTTAATACTATTAATCTCAATGTGGATACTCGTCTGTAGCCTAAATCCTCATTGTCTGGAAGTAATGCTGTATCTGAGACAGGTGGGTTGTGTGGGTCAACCTTGTTGGTTGTTGGTAACCTGGTCATTCTGTGGCTAGATCCATAACGACAAGAATCTCTACAGGGTGGGAGGTGTCATACTAATTACTGGAGACAACAATGTTACTGCTGCTGAGAGGCACTTTTCTTGCATTTGGTCTTTGACTAAGGTTGTTGCGTGACCTACCGGTGGGGCTGGGTGACCTCCACATTCCTCGAGCATTCGTCATTGTTTGTGATTCATGCCTCAGATATTGAAAGCGTGTATTCTGGCAGATATCTATTATGATTATGGCAAAGTTTATGTCTCTTTTGGTAACTTCTGAACATGGCAGTCCTGTTCATTACGGCTCAGCCCCATGAACAACAAGAAATCACGTATGTCTAATATTTACGAAATAAATACATTCGCTTAAATAAATATGATAATTAACAAAAGGCTCAGGCATAGGCCAAGGCTTCTATAAGGGGTTTAACATAAGATAGTAATTGTGTAGATAATGTTTGCGAAACGCTCATACGTCTTTCAAATCTTCAGCACAGAGGTATCTGAGGGAATGCTGAAAAATCTAAATGTTTACCACGAAAAGATAGATTGCACTTTTATTGTTGTCATTGAATATATGACAAAATCACACATATAAATCATGATTCAAAGGTGAAAGAGAATGACTTTTTGAGAATTACGAACACTTGTTTACTACATTAGTAAATTAAATGTGATTTTGTATTATAAAGTAAGCGGCATTAACCTATTAGAGGACAGAAAATATAATATACGGATACATGTATATCACAGTAACACACTGACTGTAAATGTCATCTGTTTAGTAAGCTGATTTGAGCGTTGGGTGTTTCCGGGCCCAACAATTACATTCGGAATGAACTTACTGATAGCCGACTGGAACAGCCATGGGCGTAGCAGCCATCATAAAAAGAGCCCGGGTTTACACTTGGTATTTGCTATGAAGCCAGATTTATATCTAAATATTACGCTTTGCAACCTATCGGGCTTTTCACGAAAATATGGCTTGCTACACGCCTAACTTGCTTTGTACTTATTGTGGCATTGTGTAGTCATTGCTGTGTACTGTCTTTCGTTAGCTAACCGAGCGATCGCCCTGGGCCTAGATTTTCGAAGCTCTCTTAGCGCTAAGATAGTCGAAAGTGCCATGCATTAATATTAACTTACGACTATCTTAGCGCTAAGAGAGCTTCGAAAATCTAGGCCCTGATGCTGATAGCTACGACAGCGTCGTCACCAGTTGTGCTACTATTTAGAGACACTAAACTAACAATCTTTTCTGTTTCCTTTATGAACGTGTGCTACTATTTAGAGACATTAAACTAACAATCTTTTCTGATTCCTTTATGAACGTGTGCTACTATTTAGAGACACTTAACCAACAATCTTTTCTGATTCCTTTATGAACGTGTGCTACTATTTAGAGAAACTAAACCAACAATCTTTTCTGATTCCTTTATGAACGTGTGCTACTATTTAGAGTCATTAAACTAACAATCTTTTCTGATTCCTTTATGAACGTGTGCTACTATTTAGAGACATTAAACTAACAATCTTTTATGATTCCTTTATGAACGTGTGCTACTATTTAGAGACATTAAACCAACAATCTTTTCTGATTCCTTTATGAACGTGTGCTACCATTTAGAGACATTAAACTAACAATCTTTTCTGATTCCTTTATGAACGTGTGCTACTATTTAGAGACATTAAACTAACAATCTTTTCTGATTCCTTTATGAACGTGTGCTACTATTTAGAGACATTAAACCAACAATCTTTTCTGATTCCTTTATGAACGTGTGCTACCATTTAGAGACATTAAACCAACAATCTTTTCTGATTCCTTTATGAACGTGTGCTACTATTTAAAGACATTAAACTAACAATCTTTTCTGATTCCTTTATGAACGTGTGCTACTATTTAGAGACATTAAACTAACAATCTTTTCTGATTCCTTTATGAACGTGTGCTACTATTTAGAGACATTAAACTAACAATCTTTTCTGATTCCTTTATGAACGTGTGCTACTATTTAGAGACATTAAACCAACAATCTTTTCTGATTCCTTTATGAACGTGTGCTACTATTTAGAGACATTAAACTAACAATCTTTTCTGATTCCTTTATGAACGTGTGCTACTATTTAGAGAAACTAAACCAACAATCTTTTCTGATTCCTTTATGAACGTGTGCTACTATTTAGAGACATTAAACTAACAATCTTTTCTGATTCCTTTATGAACGTGTGCTACTATTTAGAGACATTAAACTAACAATCTTTTCTGATTCCTTTATGAACGTGTGCTACTATTTAGAGACACTTAACCAACAATCTTTTATGATTCCTTTATGAACGTGTGCTACTATTTAAAGACATTAAACTAACAATCTTTTCTGATTCCTTTATGAACGTGTGCTACTATTTAGAGACATTAAACTAACAATCTTTACTGATTCCTTTATGAACGTGTGCTACTATTTAGAGAAACTAAACCAACAATCTTTTCTGATTCCTTTATGAACGTGTGCTACTATTTAGAGACATTAAACTAACAATCTTTTCTGATTCCTTTATGAACGTGTGCTACCATTTAGGGACATTAAAATAACAATCTTTTCTGATTCCTTTATGAACGTGTGCTACTATTTAGAGACATTAAACTAACAATCTTTTCTGATTCCTTTATGAACGTGTGCTACTATTTACAGTCATTAAACTAACAATCTTTTCTGATTCCTTTATGAACGTGTGCTACTATTTAGAGAAACTAAACCAACAATCTTTTCTGATTCCTTTATGAACGTGTGCTACTATTTAGAGACATTAAACTAACAATCTTTTCTGATTCCTTTATGAACGTGTGCTACTATTTAGGGACATTAAACCAACAATCTTTTCTGATTCCTTTATGAACGTGTGCTACTATTTAAAGACATTAAACTAACAATCTTTTCTGATTCCTTTATGAACGTGTGCTACTATTTAGAGACATTAAACTAACAATCTTTTCTGATTCCCTTAAGAACGTGTGCTACTATTTAGAGACATTAAACTAACAATCTTTTCTGATTCCTTTATGAACGTGTGCTACTATTTAGAGACATTAAACTAACAATCTTTTCTGATTCCTTTATGAACGTGTGCTACTATTTAGAGACATTAAACTAACAATCTTTTCTGATTCCTTTATGAACGTGTGCGACTATTTAGAGAAACTAAACTAACAATCTTTTCTGATTCCTTTATGGGCGTGTATGTGACGAAACACATACTTACACGAAGACGAGAGCCTGAAGTAAAACAACGTTACCATAGGCAGTCTGTGAACATGAATGAAAGCTGCGGTTATTTCTTGGTTTCCAACTACAAATCACGCGTGAAAACGATTCATTGTTAAACACTGACACCATGACAAAAATGCCTTGGCACCTCAACGTAACAATACCGTGATAATGTAAAACAAGCTCATCCCAGTGCTCCACGACTGAGCCTTTTACATGGTTGCCTTTAATGTAAGGTATCGACATTTTACATTCAGTCTCCAGTCCCTGGTCAGCGTTTCATGTTACCCCAGCCAGTGGTTGCGCCGTTAAGGTCAACGAAATGGGCGTTGGCCTTTTCCTTTATATAAATCATATGAACTTCAGAGTAAGAAAATTGAAAAGGAAGCAGCGCGGCATTTATTGATGATACTTCCATTACTTAACATTGGAACGCTTGCTATAAAAAGAGGTCAACAGTGAGTGAGTGAATTATTATTTAACGTCCACATTGTTGTACATATTTGGTGATTTCTTTGAGGTAAAGGTTGGTTGAATTGGAGTAAACACAATAATCCTATCCTATCGCCATGATCAATATCGTATCATACGTAGATGACAGCTATAAAACATTTTTACCCTTTGATGTTTTGGCTTGTTACAATATTTACATATTTGATTGACACATTTTGCGTAGCTCACCATATTTTTAACCTTTACACGAGTGTTTAAAGATGAAATGTTGTAATAGCTTCAAAATGTACATAGTTCCTATGATATGTAATATTCGATATTTT